GAGCAGGAGGATATTCGGACGAGGTCGGCCAGGGACTAACGAATAAATCGGATGATAAGATTTGCATATTAGTAGCGTTACTGTCGGCGTTCGCCGATGGGGCGGCCGGCCGCCCTTTTCGTGTTGCGGCCAGCCCCCGCTATTCATTCGCATTCTCGGCCAGGCCATATTCTGAATTCGGTCTCGAATCGGACAACGACTGTCCCTGCTACAAGAGAAAGAGAGACTGCTTCGACCAGATCCCGCGTCGTCGGATTTTGGAGCACCCTGGTCGGATCTTTTCCAGACCTCCATCGTCGTTCGCTTGCTCGACGAGATCCGAGAACTTGTCGACCGACCCTACATTCTCGAATATTTCGTGGAATTACCAAATGTGGAAATAACCACGAAAAACTGTCATCGAGGGGTTATTCACTCAAGAAATCGTGGACTTTAAGGGCGCTCACCACTCCAGCGATTTTGCAGGGCCTCACGGGGACAACGATTCCGAACGTATTTCTAAACCGATCGAGCTTAACGAGTGCTCATATCGAAGACGAAATGTTGACCTGTGTTTATATGGGAGCGATTTTCGATAAGTGGTCATTATCATATAAAAAAGTGCAATGACATAATTTCAATGCCCTTTTAACTAGGAAGGTGCTTGATCGAAAATCGCTCCCATATAAACACACGTCAACATTTTATCTTTAAAGCGAGCACTTGTTGAGCTCGATCGGTTGAGAAATACGCTCAAAATCGTTGTCCCCGTGGAGCACCTTTTTCAGGATTTTCGAGTTTCTCGCGAGGAATTTGGGCATTCCTTAGCAACCGTTGCCGACTCTAGGCGGAGCGTCCAACTTGCGTGTGCGTGCGGCCGAGGGTCACACACGTTTCGGCGCCTAGTCCAGAGGCGTCTAGCCGTTGTGTGACGTGCAAAATACGCACACATTTTTCGCCCGTTGCTAAACACTGTCCATTATGCGTCGCGTCTCCCTCATCCGAGCGAGAAAGTACGTTTTGGTTACCTCCCACCGAATTCGATGCTAATGCCATCTAGCGGTGGAAGTCATCGTCCCCACTTGGTGGTGAACGCCGTTAATGTTGAAAATTACCGACACATTTTGACTATTTTAAAGTTGAACGTCACTTGTTACCGAATCATGTCAAATGAAATCAAAGGTAATAGGTTCTCGAAGAAGGAAACCGCTTTCATTGATTTTCGAGTGAATAGCTCCTCGGCTGTCATTTAGGGGAAGAATCGGGTTGATCGGGGCACTTCATTTTTATAGAATTTCGCACCTCTATATACATATATTTGGCGCGAAACTCTACCGAGTTTCTTAATTACCTGTGATTTGCCGATTTCATTACCTTTTTCGTTTCTCAATTAGAATTAATCCACCGCTGTCTACCTCACTTTCTTCTTACAACGATTATTTCTATCGCAAATCTGCTGAAATTATTACTTATCGATATTTTATAGAATAAGTTAACGAAACATTTTACCCTCCAACTGTATGCAGGGAAACGTGCCTTACAATATTCCACTTCTATTCATTTAATTGCGTTGCGTTACGTTAAAAAAGGTGGGACACTTGTTCCTCAACTAAATACATTGTTGAAGAAATAAACATGTTACATTATGTATAAATTATACATTCTCCCGTTTATCCAGGGTCTTTTCTGGCAACAACTAGGAATCTGTCAAAAACTGGCAGTCCGTTGATAGCTTTGTCTGTCGTATTAAGGCTGATTCAGACTATCCAACACGTGACGGTGCCGATGCGACAAAACATTGTAGCACGAGTTTCAATGGCACTGTTCACCCTATACCCAGGTTGGACAGAGTAAACGGAACCATTGAAACGTAGGTTACAATGTTTTGTTGGATCGGCACCGACACGTGCCTGAATCGAAACGTATCGGATAGGGTGAATCCACCTTTAGCCTCGTCATTTCGATAGGGCTTATCTTTTACAATACTCGGCGTTCCTTGCAATATATTATAAATTCAATACATAAATGTATTGGTTTTCATGCACAATTATACAAAACTACAGCATGACAATGTAAAATAAATAGTTTATTTAGAAATGTATAATAAACGTATACTAGTTCACTATTAAAGCATCTCATTTATAATTCTGCTACAACCTCATGCACTAGAAGCGCATGAATTTGATGAATTCTTTAAGGTGAAGTGCCCCTTCAAATCAGTCGATTCGAATACAACACTTTTTTTTAAGGGTATTAGACCAAATTGTCCGAAACTTTGACACATCACTCCTGATCATCTAAGAATTGTCCTGACACATTCAAAATTTGGATTTTTGGAAGAAATTTGTTAACTTAGCCCAGACCAGAACCAAAATGGCGTCAGGCTCTCATATTTCGAACGATATACAATTATCGAAGGCTCTGATATGAGAAACGAAAGGGTCAGGACAATTTTATGACAATTTAGAACACTCTGGTAATCGATAAACTCGCATTTGTACGGGATAAAGGCAAAAAAAGCGTTGTATGCGCTTCTATGCTAAAACGATGGTAATACGAGGTCTCGGAGTGAAAATTTAATTGACCTGGAAATCACAAATGGCGCAGGGGGTCCCTCTGCAGTCAATTAGGGCCCCAGAAAGCATGAATCCAGAGGATTTTTGGAGTTCTACTTTGATTTCTTGATATTTATTGTACGAAAACGACAGGTGGAGTATGCCATTTGGTACAATACCCAATATAATTCGACACAGTTGTCAATATAAAAACGAACGTCGGCAACGTAGGCATTTAGAAAATCTTCTTTATCGACGTTGATCAAGTTCCTCGACGTGTTTCACTTCACCTTAAAACGGCGGAAACTTATTCCTCGACCTAATACATAGCATATTTTGCCCAGTCTGTGTCCTGCTTCCAAAAATCGTGGTTCGCATCTTGTCGCATCTCGTTTCGCGTTTTCCCATCAGTTTCGAACGTATCGGTCGGTTTGATTGGCTGCGATCTCCGCCAAGTAGTCGAAGGTCGAGACCTCGAGCCGGTTCACCTCGGCGGAACAAGAGCGATTTTATTTTACAGGCAGAGCGAGCAGGAGACATTGATAGCTCCACAAAAAGCAGCAAAGATTGAATCGCCCCGCCGGGACGTCTTGTCGAGGCAAGAAAACGGGAGGGTTAAAGGAGTTCGGGGGTGGAACGGAGTAAGGGTAAGTGCGGCGCGTTCTTCTTTCTCCGAAGGGCAGCCCGCGGTGGCAAGAAACATTTCGCATCGTCAGTGCTCGGCTCCAATGGCGTTCTTCGCCTAAGGTTAAGAGTCGTTTACGTGGAGGTTAAAGTATCACGGTTTAGACCACGCCTCTAAGTCGTATTGTCCCTCTTCCCGAAAGACCTAACTGCGCTAAAAGGCAGACCATGTAGGTTCCCACTGTGCGGCTACGTGACGAATTTCCTATGCTCCAGGGACTCCACCTTCGATATATGATTATATACGGTGTTATTAACACAGATTTATCCCACGTAATTACCCGGTGAATATTTTGAAGCTGTCGGAACGAAGAAGGGGTTTATTTTTCTCCCTGCATCTGTTAGAAAATGTAAAACAATAGAGGGCGCGTGGCCGCCAAGCGGGTGGAAATGAAATACTTAAGTTAAAGAAAATTACCAGATGTTATGTTAGATCGGATATTATTAATTATTTTTAACGCTTTTACGGCGAAATACCCTTGCTGTAATTCTTTTCAGCTCCTCTTGTGGCATCGTCTCGAAAGATATTAACTTTCACGTGGACACGGTCTGGAGAATCGAACTCTTCGAGAGCAAATCGGGTTAGTTTAGGGATTACTTTCGAGAGTAAAACTCGTAAAAATCACTCTTAGGTGGACACACACCTGAGAGTAATTCTTGAGTTACTCTGGGGAGTCACTCTCCCGTGGAGATGTAGCTTAAGGTGAAGTGAAACACCCTTCAAATCAGTTGATACGAATACAACACTTTTTTTTAAGGGCATTAGACCAAACTGTCCGAAACTTTGACACATCACTCCTGATCATTTAAGAATTGTCCTGATACATTCAAAATTTGGATTTTTCAACAAAATTTTTTAACTTAGCCCAGATCAGAACCAAAATGGCGTCGAGCTCTCATATTTCGATCAATACACAATTATCGAAGGCTCTGATATGAGAATCGCAAGGGTCCGGACAATTTTACGACAATTTAGAACACTCTGGTAATCGATAAACTCGCATTTGAACGGGATAAAGGCAAAAAAAGTGTTGTATGCGCTTCTATGCCAAAACGATGGTAATACGAGGTCTCGGAGTGAAAATTTAATTGACCTGGAAATCACAGATGGCGCCGGGGGTCCTTTTGTAGTCAATTAGGGCCCCAGAAAGCATGAATCCAGAGGATTTTTGGAGTTTTACTTCGATTTCTTTATAATTATTGTACGAAAACGACAGGTGGAGTATGCCATTTGGGACAATACCCAATATAATTCGACACAGCTGTCAATATAAAAACGAACGTCGGCAACGTAGGCATTTAGAAAAATCTTCTTTATCGACGTCGATCAAGTTCCTCGTCGTGTTTCATTTCACCTTAAGGAATGGACTTCTTAGGTAATGACTATTTCCTATAAACTAACGAAAAATACCTTTTAGCAAAATGTTATTATTTTTCAACCACTCGTTGGGGCGTTTTTAAAAGATGGAAATTTTAATTACTACGCTTTACTCTTCGTTTTACGTGAAAATAGCAATATTAGGAGCAAATAAGGAATTTTACTTGACTTCAGAGAAGAAGATGCGTGTATGAATGAGAAACTATGTCCGCAGTATCCATACTCCAAGTGTTATCGTGAAAGGTCAGGATCTTCTGCGATTTCTGGGTTATATGTATAATTAGCATGTTTGTAGGTAAAACCCAATAATAGTTTTAGATAAGCCTTGCAAGCAAACATACTTCGATTTAACGAAGGATATAAAATGAATCTTGGCAGTCTGACAAACTTAGTAAAGCTAACAGTTTCAATTGTGTAATGTCGCGGTGTTTTTAGAGCTATGGATTTAAAAGTATTAGTATTTGTTTGTCTTCTAGTTGCAATTGTCATTGGTATGTATACACTTATTGTTAATCATTGAAGGTTATTCGGGATGAATATACTTGTTACATGTGTAGAATAAAGTCTCAAAAGTGTTAACAATAAACGATTAGTTTCAAAACATATGTCAAGTAATTTGGAAAACATAAGAGTTATTTCTGATAGTGCATATAATACTATAATATTAATTATAAGTTTTATTAAGAATTAATGTTCAGGGTATAATTATGAAATTTACAGAAAATTGCGATGGGGAAAATTATCCTAGAATTCGTGTGAGGCCAAGAATCAAAATAGGAAGGCGTATAGGAATATTAAGGAGGCGTTTCAGAACTACAACACCTAAATCAATTACTACTACGGAAAGTCATATTCATAAGCACAGGAAATCAGGTAGTTGAACACAGTGTACAAGTAAAACAAATATAAATAATTATACAATGTTTAACACGAGTTATACTAGTTCCTTGGATATATGAATTATTTTTGTAATAATGTTACCCCTAAAGATTCTAGTATAAAATCGTTTGAAAATTTCAAATATGCATTGACACATAAATATTGTATGGTGTTCTATTTGTTTATATCATTCTAATTGTTGGATTATCGTTGCAGAAGCTGATATAGAGGATTCGAAGATAATACAATTTTTAAAAGTCGTTCAGAGAGACAATCGTAAGAAAAAATCCTACTAGGGAAAGATTAAAATTCACATACCGTCAGACTTTTCCCTTAAATTTCATTGTTCACACCACGTAATTATGACATTGCTTACAGTTTTAGGTAATGAGAATATTACATCAACTCGTCCCAAATTTGTTAAAAAGGCTAAAAGAATTAGTAGACAAACTGGAAAAAGAGGTTTTGATATAACGGATAAGTTTTTAGAACATGAACGGAGAGGGCACGGTAAGTTTGCACTAAAAGTTACAGACTAAATTTTAAATATCATCACATATTTTTTCTTAACCCTTTAATTACGACGGAGTCAACCGTAAAGCTATACCGTTTATACTAACAGTTCGATCGTGAAGTGCTAATATTGTATACGTAATAAGGGGGCAATATAATGGCATATCGTAAAAAATTGTCGGTCAGGTGGTAGCTACTATGGTGACACTTCGTAACTAAAGGGGTAAATTACGTCATTCTGACCACGTCATTTTTACATGGCTCACGGTTTTAGATGTCAAAATTAATAAAGTTAATACTACACCTCGGCCTAGTTCAACTAGGCTTACTGAAAGGACAACTACTCCGAAATCAATTATACGCAATACAAACATGAATCGTACAAGAAGTGGTACAAGTAATCGAAAACTTGGGCAGGCGAGTCATAACGTTACCACTACTACACCTCGTTACTCTTCTAAGAGGGTTACTACGGGGACTTACACTCCTAAGAAAATTACCACCGTTAATCAATCACGGTACCCAGGACGAACTACAAATCGAACATCAAGTCAGCCGAGAGGTAATGTCACTATTTTCCAAAATCGTAATTCAACAACTAGAGTGGCTCCAAGAGTGACTTCTCTAAAAACGACTATTCCAAGAGTGACTGCTTTAAGAACGACTACTCCAAGAATGACTATTCCAAGAGTGACTGCTTTAAGAACGACTACTCCAAGAATGAGTTTCAATGTGACCGAGTCAAATAATACATGGCGTACTACCAAAAGTCAACGACATATCTACTCCACTACTCCTACATCTCGTCGAATTTTTATCAGTGACACAACTCCAAAGATAAATTCCACGGCCACTAAGTTCAATAATACCAGACATAAAACAGGAAGTCAAGTAACTAGTCAGCCGAATCGTTATGGCACCGTGTCCACAACTCCATATACACGTGCTCCAGTTACTCAAAAGTTTACCACTCCAAAACCACAGCCTAACATCGTTATCCAAATCATCCCACCCTTGCCCCCTCAAGTCCAAACCGCCAAACCCTTACCCCCTCAAGTACCTATAAGTACAACTCAAAATGCACCTCAAGAACCTAAAAGCGGATCATCAAATATACCTAGCCTCTTGAATAGTGATAAGAAGGAAATTAAAAATAAAGCGAAGGAGATCAAAAGTCAGGTGAATGACATTCTGGATCTAACAAAGACTCTTGGCAAGGGAGCAAAATCAATCTATGAAACTATTAAAGGAAAGCCAGAGAGTAAGAACACTATGACAGAGAAACCTCGGAATCAACCGAATGTTCCAGGAGTAAGTACTGTACCTGGAATAAGTACTGCACCTGGAATAAGTATTGCACCTGGAATAAGTACTGCACCTGGAATAAGTACTGCACCTGGAATAAGTATTGCACCTGGAATAAGTACTGCACCTGGAATAAGTATTGCCCCTGGAATAAGTACTGTACCTGGTATTACAACTACAACACAACCGACTATAGCTGCGCGACCATTGTACACGATTATTAAACCAATTGTTCCAGCATCAATAGCAGTGCCAACTACTCGTAATAAACCTACTTCGACAAAATCGCCGGCCGTAATTACGGACGACGAAATTTGGAGACTAACGGAGGATCTTTTTGCAAACGACGACTCCAATGCTATGAAGTATATTACCATGAATTTGCAGACGCGTATTGAAGGTTTCAGTGTAATGAACAACTTGAATGCTTCGTAAGTTGTCATTTTCAATAATTGGTATTCGCTTCATTTGGAAGAGTTAAGACTATAATTAGTATTTTACGAAGTAAAAATTTTATTAATATTGATTCATAACAGTTATATTTAGATTGTCAGTTATCTTCAATTTGCATACGTTTCAACGGTAACATTGAATTTTTAGAAACAAGTGGAAAGTCTTCCGACCTTTAGTGGAGAAAATTTTTCAACTTTTTAGGCTACTTCGTGTTGATCCAGAGGCATATTCAATCCCGTCGATTCACACGGTTAGAGAAGTATATGATAATTACGAAATGAACACGCTTATTAAGGAAAATGTCACGTGTCAAAAGCGGAGAGAAGAGAATCTATTGATAGACATTTTATTGGACACAAATGTTATGTTATCTGCTATGAAATGGCTAGCAAAGAAGAATTTCATTGATACCGATGAGTTTGGAATGAAAGAAGCATTGAAACAAATTTGGTTTACTCAGTTTAACGGTACGTCGTCACCGTTCGAACGCATATTCTTGGCGGAAATAAATCCTGGAGATAGTTCGAGAATTATTGGAGCCAAAAATTGGGTTTACTTTAACTACCTCGAGTCTATGAAACTTATTAATTATATGGGATATAAGACGAAAGTGGACCTCGGCGATGTAAGTAGACTGCGTATTACCAATCGAGTAAATAAATTTGTCTTCTTGATGACTAGTAGTCTAAGAGTAATTGTTCTTATTTTGTTTCAGAAAGCATCGCTTATAAAATTACAATTCAGGTTGAAGGATGTTATTAATCGTGATGTAGTCTTGTTTGTTGGGCCATCTCCTGAATTCGAAATGGCTTTATATACAATATGCGCTTATGCGAGGCCAAACGGCATTTGTCTTGTATCCCTTGGAGGGGTGAAAATAACCTTGTATACTTCAATATTCAGGTACTACGGAAAAGATCTGATCAATTCGGCTAAACTAGTTTTCTAAATTCAGATATAGGATGTATTCGTCGCAAGGTTTGGCATTTACTGTGGCAAAATCGTAAGAATTACCCCACCGAATAATTTTAAACATTATAGCCGGTAAACGTTTGCGACGTATTTAAGTATTTGTACACGATTTTACTTACGAACATATTAAATGAGATTGTAGTAAAAAATACGAATATTCATGCGCGAAAGGAATATTCAGATTATAAGATGTCATCTAGAGTTGCATTTTCGGACATATTGTTTGCTGACTGATAAAACGGGAAAGTATTAATCGTTTGTGTTTATCTGAAGATGTAAGATAGTTAAAAGTAGAAAAAGCGTAATTACTTCCACAAATGAATATTTGCATGCCAAGTAAAATAATCTAGAAAAAGTGAATCGACATTTTGACTTTTTGGACGGTGATCTATCAAGACACTCGGTAGAGTTTCGAGCCAAATACATTTTCGAGCGAGAAACTCGTCATGTGACAGCGTCATGTGACGAGAGAAACGCGCGCTTAACACATTCGCGACCGTTGACGTGAATTCACGTCTTTTCAAGTTTTATTCCTGGTTGCCACTGATGTGAATTCACGTCATTTTAAATTCTATTCCTGATTGCCGCTGACGTGATTCACGCCCATAACGATACACGATACAAGTTTGCGGCAACTAGTTTCAGAATTTCATTATTTTCGCCGATACTCAGTATTTGAAACGGAAAAAATTTGCCGGTCGCGAATGTGTTAAGTTCGAGCGAGACGCTATAGAGTTCTATACGCCAAGGATGGAGATTTAAGGAGTGGGGGAAACGGGAATCTAGTCTCTCCATTACTATAGAAAAAAATGAACGTTTGATCAGCTAAAAAAATCAAGTAAAAGATCATGAATATTTTAAAATTTACCCGGCTCCGATCGCTGGTACCTACGTGAAGATCTAGCATCTAGAAGATCTATATAGCATCTTAAAGTTTTTCAGTACTCTCAGAATCGTGGTTCTGTTATCATCATCGTCGTCGCTCCAGTCACAGACTACTTTTTCGCACAAACATGATAGGTGGACTGTCATATAGTTTTTGGGCAGCCTACATGAGATACCGCCTCGCACGGAACGAAAAGGAACTATACCCATCCTAGCCTTAAATCGATTGGATTTTAATAGAAAAAAGCTTTCCGGATGTTTTTGAGACCGCTGAAGCCAAGTCAGAAAATATAATCTTTTAGAAACTAAATTTGAAAACAATATTTTATTTGGCGAGAATCAAAATGATCATGTGCTAGGAGTATACCTCGGGTGCTCGCCAAATAAAATATTGTTTTAAAATTTAGTTTCTAATTTTTTTATTTGTTTCGATATAGTTTTTAATACATGTCTTCGGTTTGAGGAAGCAGAAAATCTTGTACATACAACACACGTGAAACCAAATGTATTCTGACATTTGGTAAAATGATTTTAGCTGAGTCTTTAATGGAATGAATGTTCAACTATATTTGGCATAAATAGTTGATTTGAGCTTTTCATGGGAAGGGAGCAATTTGAGCTATTTTTGCAATTAATTGAATAAAGATATATGTATTTGGCTAAATTTTTGTACATCGAAGGGGTTTTGAGGGTCAAATATACGAATGGCAATGAACGAATTCGATTTTTGGTTGATTCGGCAATTTGAGTGAATCTATGTTGACTCGGCAATGTTTTTTTTGTGAGATCGTGTGTTGTCTCGGCAACTGTCGGTTCGAATCTGATTTTTTACAACGAATTTAAAAAATACTAAAGTGCATAGCTCTCCCTCCAACACGGTGGAGGGAGGAAGTCAGACTTGAATTGAGCATTCTCATTGGCAGGGAAAATTCTCGAAAATTCAGGATTTCCGCTCTCTCGGACACTTGCGAAACGGCCTTACTAATTTGTCCTACGAATTGATTGGGATGGGTTATCGACGCTCGATTTCTGATATTTAAACATTTATACCATATTTAGAATATTGTCACTCACAAGAACTTCAATAAAAAGTGAATACGAAAAAATGAATACTCTATCTCATATGAAATGTAATAAAATATTCTTTGATGGGTAATTGATTATTTTCTTGCGCCGCTCTGCAACAATATTGTTTGAACTACTAAAGAATAATATAAATGCGAGGATACATTTTTTGTCCCTTCACATGTGTCAGAAACGTTAAGGAAGGATCCTTTGCTACATTTGATCGAAATTCATTTCCGACCTATAAAATTACGAAGAAACGTACAGCGCAGAAAATGTAATTTGCAATTTGATCCTTATAACGGTCAATCGGTAGATTTCGGATTGAAACGGGATTAAACATATTCTAAACCAGGTCTTGGTAGGAGGGAAGTCAGAAGATGTAACGATTCATTTACTCCGAAGGATTCTAACGCACTACGTAAGTCCAACGTTGCCTGCGCCACATCAAACCAGCCCTTTTCTCAACCCTTCCTTCAATTTCGTAATTATTAGAAGAAACTTCCCAGCTCGATCTAACTGGAGGGATATCGTCTCGGAGGAACGATGGGCGGTTTAAAAATTCGCGTTTCCCGTCGAGTGATGGCGCCTCGTAAAAAGAGCCGTTGAAGGAGGATCCTCCCTCGGGCGCACTCGTCTGCCTCGGTAAACAGGCAATCAGAAATGCCTCGTGTGCAACTCGTGGAGAGGATGAGAGCGACAGTCGCGAGGAGAGGGCCAGGGCGGGAGAGGAGTCAGAGTGGGGCTGGAGAGTGAATTTAGGAGAATTAGGCGAAGAGGCGGACCCTTTTCGAGACGCTTCCGCGTCAGGTTGAGCGATTGTTCGCCGCGACAAAGGACGCACTGCCGCCGCGAGGGAGTGGCGCTGCAGGCGGCTGGAAAACAAAATGAAGTGCCGATTTCGCCGTTCCGGAGTTAAGTCTCCACGCCGGGGACGCAAGGGCGCCTCTGTGACCGTGCGTGTGCCCAAGGTGTGCACTCTAGCGAATTAGATTTCGGCCGCTGGAACGCGTCGCCGTTGAGGTGTCTAAATGGTAGGCAGCGTCGCCGCTGCTTCGTCGCTTCGGCGTTCCGCCGCGGTGGCGCTGTCGGCGCTCACGCTCGGGCCAGAATGTCCAGATCGGGCGATTTATCGCGAATTGGGCGATTTTAAGTACGCTTTTGTTATAACTTTTACTTGAAAGTTGGAAGTCGCAAATTTAACGATTTTTAAATTAACGATTCCGCTAACGTCTGATTATTTAATTCAAATTTTATCATTCGGCGTTCCGCCGCGGTGGCGTTGTCGGCGCTCACGCTCGGGCCAGAATGTCCAGATCGGGCGATTTATCGCGAATTGGGCGATTTTAAGTACGCTTTTGCTATAACTTTTACTTGAAAGTTGCGAGTCGAAAATTTGGCGATTTTTAAATTAATGATTCCGCTAACGTCTGATTATTTAATTCAAATTTTATCATTCGGCGTTCCGCCGCGGTGGTGTTGTCGGCGCTCACGCTCGGGCCAGAATGTCCAGATCGGGCGATTTATCGCGAATTGGGCGATTTTAAGTACGCTTTCGTTATAACTTTTACTTGAAAGTTGCAAGTCGCAAATTTAGCGATTTTTATATTAACGATTCCGCTAGCGTCTGATTATGTAATTCAAATTGTAATATTATTGCTGTCGTGGAATAATAGTTTATGGCTAGAATAGAATGTTTATTATGTTCACGTATTATTATTATTGTAGTATATTAAATGGCCTCTATTTTTTCATTTTATCATTGGGCAACTTTTCCGAAGTAGCGATGTCCTCTTGAAAAATCAGGGCATTCTGGTCCGGATAAAGAATTCAAAAATCTCCATAAATCTCTAGGAGGTCTCCGAACGGGCCCACCGAGGAAGGAACGCGGACTCGGGTTCTGGAAAAAGAAGTTAGTCAACCGCGAGCGACGAAGGCGTTCTAGCGTACACCCCGGTATCCGCGTAACTCACCCCCGCGACGTAGAGTACCATTATCCGTATTTTTGTTATCGCTTTCTAATTATTCATAATCATAGCAGTGATCAGTATTTCTCTCGGTTACTCTTGGGTTTATTTTGTTTCCTTCTGTTTATTCTTTTACTGAACAACCATGTGTTAGTGTGTGCGTGCGTCACGAGCGTGACACAGCCGCGACTGCCATCATCCCTCGGATAACAGTAAGGAGGATAATACAGAGAATATTATCCGAAAAACAGCTTGGTAAGTACTCTTTGTTGATAATATGTGTTTAATAGAGCATTTGCAATATGTATTAGAAAAGTTATTTTATTAGTTTAGAGGTTACGTTGCTTTTGATGTCTGTTCGATATAGAGGTGCTATCCGAATTGAATAGGATTATTTATTTCTAAGCGTGAAATTATTAAAGTGGTAAGCCCCCGGGCAGCTAAGAAATTGTTTGGAACTGGTTTTTTAGCCTTCCGAGAGAAAAATCCAGATCCATGGGTGTTCGGAAACTGCGTCTCTTAGTGCTCGAACACTGGGACGTAATGATTAACCCCTTCACTTACAATATCGTGTGAGAGACGTGGTATATCAATTGGGCCAAACGGGAACAAAACGTGTGAGAGACGTGGTATATCAATCGGGCCAAACGTGAACAAAACGTATGAGAGACGTGTGAGACTTTGAACGTTCAGCCAAACCATGAAATGGCCCGATGTATGGCCGACATTTTTGTTGTTTATGGCACGCGCTATTGGAATTTAAATCGTAAGGCAAGGGGTTGATGGCTGTTCGGATCCTAGTACATTCGGCTTTTCCATACTTCTCGCAGCATAAATAATAAATTATTCAATATTTCTATGTACATACCATGTGTTTCAGAAACTAAAAACTTTCATCTTTATGTTCATTAAGTCAGTTGTACCTCGCATCGGTCTTTATACGCTAAATATTTATCGGTATCTGAACAGCGTCTTAGAGGTTCGGCCACTGGTACACTTACCTTACACCCAATTCAGACAGTTTCGTGAACAACACCCCACAGATACCATTTTTATATCACCTTAAGCGAGGATATTCCTGAGTGTTGCTTATGGTACCGTGCAGCGTCTTAATTCGGCGTTTGAGTTATATCCCGATTGATATAAAAATTAGACCGCATAATGGCGTTTTAGAAGGAAAATGCATTGACTTAACAGTGTTCACCACCAAAGTAGGGACGATGACTTCCATCGCTAGATGGCATTAGTATCGAATTCGGTGGGAGGTAACAAAAACGTACTTTCTCGCTCGGATGAGGGAGACGCGACGCATAATGGGCGGTGTTTACCAACGGGCGAAAAATGTGTGCGTATTTTGCTGGTGTTAGCAACGGGCGAAAAATGTGTGCGTATTATGGGACTCACACAACGGCTAGACGCCTCTGGACTAGGCGCCGAAACGTG